ACCAGCTGTTTGCACCTGGCAAGACATGCACCAAGTCACAGCCTCCTCGGCTATCAGGAGACTGGGGGCAGAAAGCCAGATGGATATTAAACCCAGCGTGAGAATGGCAAAACCAGTCCCTAAGCCTCACAGACTTTCCGTTCCATTAGGTGTTTTTGTCCACAGTGTTATGTCCCCAGGTGGGCCTGAAACTGTGCCTGAACCTGCAGGCACTCTGGTCGCCTGCTTTATATGACTGTCTTTTTGAGTAAGTATGCTTCACCGTCAAGGAGACATCAAGTCTTCTGATATCCTGGCTGCCTCCATCAGCACTACCCAGTCAGCACAACCCACATGTACTTTTTCCCCTCAGTATTTCCTTGAACCATTGAGTAGGCAGACAGAATGAAGGAGTGGATACACAGATGCTCCCAGCGGCCTCTACTGAGGTTTACAGGACACTTAGCTGTGGGCTTACTCTAAAAACATCTTTTTGAATACATGAAGACTGAGGTGTGTTTTACCAATAATGGCACCCACAGACATACTAGGATCTCCCAGGAGCCTGGCACTGTGTAAGACAGACAAAGAAATGAAAGACAGAATCACTGCTCTCAAGGGCCTGGCAACCTAGCTGCAGCAGGTGGTAGAAAGTGTCCATGCACGTATACACATGTCTCCACCCTTTCAGGACTGGGCTGGTGCTCACCAGTGAGCCATGATGGAAGCCTCTGACAGCCTCTGTGGACCCTCCAGGTCTTGTTAACTGAGGCGGGGTACCCAGGGTGCTTGAGAAACTGCATCAATAGAATGCTCTGCCAACCACATGGACATGCAGTGTGAGCAAGAACCCATACACCATGCTATGCAGCCAAGATTTGAGGTGACTTCATTGCTCTACTGTAGCCCAGTCTATTCTAATAGAAACAGGAGCAGTGATGAAAGACAGTCTATGATCAACACTCAAGGGGCAATGTAGACAAACCCTCCAAGCTTCTTCCTACCTGCAGCCTTTGTCTTTGGTGTTTGTCAGGTTCCTTCCTGACTTCCAGGTCTCACCCACAAATTCACCATCTCAATAGGCCCTTCTTAACCACCTGGTCTCAAGTGCTCTACCCCCAAACACTCTCCATCACATGACACCTTTCTCACCCTCTAGGAAACATTCTTGTTTCCCATCTACCATTCCCCTCTATAACATGAGCCTAACAGCAACAGGAAATGGACTCCTGTTTACTGCTATAGTCCCAGAACTGTACCTGGTACAATCAGGTGTTGTTGTGCACACCTGTAACCCCAGCACTCTGGGAGGCAGAGGCAGAGGGATCACAAGTTCAAGCTCAACCTGGGCAACTTAGTGAAAACTTGCTTCAAAAAGAAAAAAAGAGCAGGCAATGTAGCTCGGAGTGAAGGCCATGAGTTCAATCCCCAGTACTGCAAAAAAGAAAGACTTGTGCCAGGCACAAAGTGGGAACTCTATAAACACAGATGGAGGAGCAAACAAGTGAGGTGTCTGCCAGGAGAGATAAGAGGTGCAAAAAGTCACTGAGGGCCAAGTGTCCAGGCCACAGCTCATGAAGGAGGCAGTTTGGAGAGGCCTTTTGCAGCACGGGGCACTGAGGGTCACCACAACAGCTTCTGCAGCAGGAGCTGGCACTGGGGTGGGAATGCATGGGGTGGCCTACGTGACCTACAGTCAAGTGGGTTTGCTGGGGAGGAGGAGTACAGTGGGAAGAAGATGGATGATAGCCTTAAATGCCGGTTTATATCCGATGTAAGAGCAACGGGCAACTGTCTGAGGGGTGAGGCGAGTGTTGCCCACAAACCTACTGTTTGAGAAAGGGTGAGGGGATGGAGATTCTAAAATAGAGAAAGTGAGGGAAAGGGTGCAGCCATTGGGCTGTGAAAATAGTTCAGTGGGGCATGATCCATGGATAAAGAGAGGAAAATAAGGAAGGGAGGGTCCATAAAACTTGTTCCAAGAAAGTTTCCTGCTACCCAATGCCACACAATTGCAGGATGGGACAGAGAAAGAGCCATAACTAGAACTAAAGGCTCTTTCCACTGGATTCTTCCATTCACTGGTTTCCAACTACACAGCAGAGGGAGCCTTCTGGGAGCATCCAGCCTAAGACCAATAAGAGAATAATCCAGGACAATGCCCATGTGGGTGCCTGAGCAGAGACCACATCAATGCAGCCGGGAAGAAACTGACATCAAAGCAGCACAACAGGTATCTGCATTTTAGAAAGAAAATCTAAGTTTTAAACTTAGTAAAATGATAATTGAATACTTTCCTTCCTGGCCACACATAGTTTTGGGGCTCAGAGAAAAACTTCGGAGTTTAAAAACACATGACAACTATTGTCATCACACAGAATAAAATGCACTTTTTAGAATTCCATCTCCTTTTGGGAAACAGACCTTCTTAAGAAGTGCTTGACACTGGCTTCCCACACTGGAGTTGCCTGAACTTTCTAGGGGAGGAGGGAGATGAGGAACAGCAGGCAGAAATTTACAATGTGGAAATTGGGGTATGGGCACTTTGTTCCTGGCCTTAAAAGAGTTAGGGTCCAGCTTTGCAGGTGGGAATTGCTCTGTAAGTACTTGTAAATGAGTTTTTGATGACCTTGTTGACCGTTCCAACTTCTATCCTTACCATCACCTGGAGCTGTGTAAGAAATGTGCAAGTGGACAGCCAAAAGAAATGTCTACAGCATCACTGACTTCCTGTTCTTCTCTCTGCTTCTCATTCCACACTCTTCTTTACATTAGCTCTTTCTGCCTCTGCCTAGTGCACTGCATCCTGCATCCCTGACTACATAACTTTGCAAGCATGGACCTCCAATATGTCACAGTCTTCAAAACATCCTCAGTAACGTTGGATCAGAACCAGGTGGGGAATGGGGACATCATTTCCCCAGTCTCTGTGTCTCCTCCAGGTGGGCAGGGCACAGTTGTAACGTCTGAGCTCAGGGGTGGTGAACCCATGGCATGTGTGCCACAGCAGGCTGCTCATCATCACCAAAAGCTCGGAAGGGCTCACCGGCACCGTCTCAGCTTATCTCGCTGCACCTCCGCTTGGACGGTACAAGGAAGAGCAGCCTGACTCGTGGCTCACTCTGGAAGGTGGTGCAGCATTCCTCACCTGCCTGCTGTCTCTGCCCTTCCTTTGGGAGCAAAGATCCTGCAGGAAGCTGGTGTTCTGTGCCCCTGTATGACCTGAGCCTTGCGGGACTGTGCAGCCTGGCCTGCCATTGAGAGGGCAACCTGTGGGGTATTCGGTGCTAGGAAGCTTATGTGGCTCTTTCACTAAGCTACTTCCTCCAGTGTGGCCTTTTCAGTTGTAGAGCTTACATACTGACTTTTGTCCATTTCTGTCATCTTATTTCTCTCCTGGCTCAGTGACCATGGCAGGAGGATGGCAAAGTTAGCCAGATGCCCCTCTGAACTCCAGAAACACCATTCCATTGCATATAAGAATAAACACAGAGTCCTTGGCCCGGTTTTTAAGATCTTCCACCAAAATATAAAGCCAAGTGTCAGTCAGTTCCCTGGGCCTGATTCCCACTCCACTGTGCCCCAGACACGCCATGGTCCCCACCGCAGCCACCTCCCCGGGTGCCTCATTCCTCCAGGACACACATTATGCTTTCTTTCTCCCATATGCTGAGCTTGGCTCTTTGTTCCACTGGTATTTAGATCCAGAAAAAAGAAAAAAAAATAACAAACAAACCAACAAAAAGCTCCCCAGCCGGCCTAGTGGCCACATGTCACTTCTCTTCTCCCTCAGTGCCACATTTCTTGGTTTGTTTCCTCTGCCACGAAATTTCCCTCCCCCTGCGCACTCCCTCCTCCCTCCACACATGCCCACCACTTATCTCCGAGCTCCCACTTAGGGACCTCAGCCTCCAAACCCCCTGAGTCCCCTGCAGTGTCAGATGCACTGCTTAAGGGCTCCCCTGGAATCCCATTCAGCATAGCACTCAGTGCGCTGACAGAAACTGCTCTCTGATTGCTCTCAAGGAGCTTAGGAAGGAACACAGCCAACACATATATGATAGATGGCTGAAGACCTCAGAGTTGCCCCTCTGGGTGGCAACCTGCCTTGGTCACCAGGGAAGTCAAAAGTAGGTGCCACCATCCGCAGTCTCAGAGCAGAGGCCATGCTGTAGAAGGGCATTGACTAAGCAGCCAGCAAAGGTTGTCTTGAGCAGGCAGGCACACTACCAAGCACCCAGCTTCTAGCTGGTCAGTGAATTAAGGACATCACACCTTCAAGTCAGCTTCCCAATGCGGTTAGAAGCAGCGGAGTCACATAGTTCCTACAGTCAAGAGGGAAATCCCCGAAATCAAAGAGGGAAGGGGTGAACCCTGGCCACCCAGAGTAAGTACAGTGAAGAAAGGGTCCACACTCTCAGCCTCCCCCATCCAATGTGCGGATGCCAGGATGTGGAGCTCAGGCAACAGCCAGCCGATGGTGGCTCAGATGACACAGCCTGGTGCGGGGCCACTGCATTTTCTCACTGGCTTGAGGCTGGGGAAGTCTGATACCCCTCTTTGAAGTCTGTTCGGGGCTGGGGAATGCAGGGATTTTCTGGGATAGATAAGACCCTCTTGGGCTCAAGTATCAAGGGGCTTTCCTCCACTTTGTAAATGCTGCTGGGAAAATGAGGAGAGCTCAAACTCAAGTCATTTTTAACAGGAAGTGCTGAATCTGCCTTGCTTGTAAGTGAGGCTAGCATGAATAGATTGACGGATTATCCTTGGGGGATGGTGAGTTCCCTGTTACATGAGGCAATCAACATGAGCCAAAGGACAATTGAGTGTTGCAGAGAATATTGTTGCCTTCAGGGTAAGCCTTTTAGCTTCAAGTACATGGGCCTTGTACTTTCTCATTCTTCCACTACAATGCACTGTGCAAATCACCCTATTTCCATCTTCTTTCCACCTTTGATCATACTACCAGGCACCTTACACACAGTAGAGGCCCAAGGCAGACAGGATATGTGCTACAATACCTATTTTGGTGAGCCACTTGGCCACAGCCCCATAGATCTCATCCAGGATGAGGATGACTACGAGGTTGATGATGACTGCCGTCGCTGTTACTGTCACCCGGACATTCGAGCGTGTGGCCTTGTTGAGAGACAGAGCAGCTGCAGTTGTGATCCGATACACAATGACCCCAAAGACAATCGAGAACGTCAAGGCGATCTGTCCAGGGAAAACAGCAAGAGGAATAACTCAGCAGGCAGTTATTGAGCACCAACTATTTGTTCAGCCAATAGTTCTGCTTGCTTTGCCAGGTGTTACTGAGCTGCAATACCCAAGGGAGCTGCAACCCCCAGGAATTCTTACACAGAACTTCAGCATAGGTACATTTTCTGGGGGAGGATATCTTTAGTCTTTAGCAGAATTCAAATGGTCTGTAACATACACATACACACACATGCACACACACAAAGGATGAAAATTCCAGGCACTGTGGAGTATACAACACATCCTTTGACTTCTTTCCTTAGAGGGCTTTCCATTTACTATGGAGATAAGAGGAACACCTTTAAATCACAATAAATAACACAATATTAAGTACTGTCTTAGTTACTGTTCTCATCACTGAGACATAATACCTGATGCCTACAAGTTAGAGAAAAGATAATGGTCTTAGTCCATAGTTGGCTGGCTCTACATCAGGGTAGCATGGCAGAGGGGCATCACAGAGGAGAAACAGTCCATGGCAGAACAGGCAGGAATCAGCAGGCCACAAACTTCCCTTTCCCTTTTATCTCATCTAAATTAAAGCTTTTTGAGTGGTGCCACCCCCCCCCCCAGAGTGGGCCTTTCTATTACCCACACTGAGAAATTTGATAAACTAATTAATGGTCTAATCGAGTACCATACACCCTTAATCTCAGCATCACGCCCTTAATTTACATTCACATACCCTAGATCTACCCACCTCTGAAAAGCCCCACTTATGGCCGCAAGAGGGGGGACATCTAGATACAATCCATAACAAGTACTAAGTAAGGAAGATATCCACTAAAGGAACTCAGAAAACAGGGAAGCAGGCAGATCTGCTTGGTCCTAGAGTTGTGTGGAAGAAGTGGGCTTAAAACTGGACCATCCATGAGAAGAAAGAAGGAGACACTGAAGGTATCTGAGCTGAAAAGAGATGAGTTACAGCTTGGTGGGAGGGACTGCTAAGGAAGGTTGCTCAAAGGAGAAAAAGGTGAGATACATTAGAAGTGATATATTCAGACTTAGTTTGAGTGAACAAAATTGCAGTAAAGTTTCTCTAGCACTTGGCTCAAAATGGAGAGTGCAGATTTCTCATTTGGTAGAAATCTCTTGGTGATGTGTTCCTAAAGGAAATGTACCAGTCTATCCACCTCTAAGGTCCCCCATTGTCTAGTTCTAGAACCTTAGAATAAGAAGGGGCTCTCCTAGACCTACACAGACCCAACAGCCCCACCCTTTGCCTCTGTCTCCCCATCAAAGCCAAGAAAGGACCACTTGCAGGAAGCACAGGATGCTAGAGAAGAAAGAGCCCTGAGGAAACCTCTCAAGGGTAGACAGGGTGAGCCGACTGCTGGGTGCATGCCCTGCTCAGAGCAAAGGTGCATTTGCTACAGTCAAGTGAATTTTTTTAAAACCTTTTTAGCACTCTTTCTGCAAATGAGGCTGTGCAAGTCCTATTTCCTCTAGAGGACAGGGGACAGGGATGCTGGCTGTGGAGGGTGAAATGGAAAATGTAGGGAGGAAAAGAGCAGGTAGAAGGTGCCCCTCACAGAAGTAACTGCTCCCGGCTACACATTCTGGAGGAGAGGAACAATGTGGGGGTGGTGGGGGAGGTCACAGGCAGCGTGATACTCTGGTGGACGGGGAATGGGTTGCAGATGTGGGAAGACACAGATGCCTTTAGACCTCTGGGGCTTCTGGGGATGCTGAAACACGGAGCACTGGTGGCAGGCTCAGCTGCTGCTCTGATGTGCTTGATAAATATTCCTGTGTCCCGTGTGCCATGCTGTGAAAACGAGCCCTTGGTAAGAAAGGCAGGAAGGTAGTGTTGTCTGGGTAAAGGGTGTGTGTATGTGTGCCTGTGTGCTTGTGTGCAGAGGAGACAGATGGGAAAAACACTCCGTGGGAGGCCCCTCTTCACCCGCAGATCTGTGGAGGGATGACGGCCGCATGAGCGAGAAACCTGGACATGACATCACCCCCTCAAACAATGTACAGTTCACTTCCTGCTCCTCAGGGATTGTCACCACCAGACAGTAAGGGCCTGGAAATGTGGTGTGAGATTCTTTCTCCCCAAAATCACTTTTGCAGTGAAGGCCAGTGATGGAAGTATTGATGAGGGAGTGGAGGCCAGGCAATGAGGGTGTGTGTGTGTGTGTGTGTGTGTGTGTATGTGAATTCAGGTTAGGGTTTCAGGAAAGACTGAGGAAAGAAAGCAATAACAGAAACATCCTTTGCTTTAGAGTCATAGGGGAGGCATATGGGAGAAGAGGCTAAGGCCCAGCTATGAAAGTGAGGAAGGAGGAACACTTTTCCTTGCTACTCAAAATACGGCCCATGAACCTGACCCTGCACCAGTTAGAGCCCAGCTCCCTTACCCCTGGATGTACATCCAATGGAAATGAAATCAGCAACCAAAAGAGATCCGTGAATGCCCATGTTTATCATGGCACTATTCACAAAAGCTGAGATAGAGAATCAGCCTAGGTTCCCATCAACAGATGGATAAAGAAAATATGATACATGTACAACAGAGTATTATTCAGCCATAATAAAGAATGGAATCCTGTCATTTGCAGCAGAATGGATAGAACTGGAGGACATGATGTTAAGTGAAATAAGATGAAGAAAGACAAGAATCGCATGTTCTCTCAAATAGGTGGAAGTTAAAATAAATTGAGCTGAAAGTAGAACAGTGACTGCCGAGGACCAGAAAGGGTGCCGGCATGGAGACGCAGGGGTGTAAGAATGGTGGTTGGACGTGATCTGTGCATGCTGTCTAGAACTACCACACCGAATCCCATTAATATGTACTTAACATTTTTCAAAAAAAGAAATGGCTGCCTTTGTGAAGTTGATCTTCTAGTCAGTAAACAGGTAACACAAACAATGTCTCTGGTGGGGCAGGATCGGCGGGGACAAATGAGGCAAAATAGGCATAGGAGCAGGTTGAGCAAGGCAAGACAGTGGCCTTTCAGTGAGGACCTGAAGGAGGGAATGGAGCGGGTAGGGCAGGGTGTCAGGCAAGCAGCTGCTGCACAGTGAGCAGGGGGAGAGGTGGGGCAGGTAAAAGAAAATCCTTCTCTTTAGGGGACTAGACTTTCAAAAACATCAAAAATGAGGAAACGTTGGTATCCTCCAAGGACTTCTTAGAAACTAGTAAGTAGGGGACCATATAATTTATTGTCCAATCTGGAATAGTTCTGAGAGTAAAAAGAGGTTCTACTAAAATGACCCTAGGACAGGAAGTCTAGACCAGGACCAGACTAGGGCATTTGAGTTTAAAGGGCTTAGCATCCCAGGGGTTCATCCCACACCTGCTCCCACTCCATTCCTGCTCAGATTCCAGCCCCAGCACTTGCTGATGCAGATGAGATTATCAGTTAGGATACAGTGAGATTATCAGTTAGGTTTTGGTTCTGATGCAGACTCTTGTGTTTATATCAAGTTTTGGAGTTAACTAGGTTGGAAAAAGGAAGATTAGGAGAGAATCATATATAATTTCTGCACAACAATTTCCACTCTCCAGTCTAGCCTTATGAGTTCTCAAGGAAAGAAGGAAGGAAAGAAGGAAGGAAAGAAGGAAGGAAGGAAAGAAGGAAGGAAGGAAAGGAAAGGTAGAGAAGGGAGGGGGAAGAGGAGGGAGAAGGAGAGAGAAGGAAACAGGAGAAGAAGGGAGGGAGGGAGGGAGAAAGGGAGAGAGAGGTGAATATAGTAGAACTTTGGCAGGATGATTCATTATTGACCTAGTTTCTAGTATTTATTAATCATACACGTGACTGACTCCTTCACCTCTTCCAGAACCTCGCTAAAATCTCAGGGAGGACTTCTCTGCCCAATCTATTTAATGCATACATTTAGTGTGTTTTTAATTTCACTGTGAACATACAGAACCATTCATTTCACACCCAAGCACACACACAGTTGAATGAGCGAAGCATTGTCTCCACAACCCAGATGTATATAGGCAGCACCTGTGCACGCCCACCTGTCACATACCACCTCTCATCCTGCTCCTCCTTTAATGCAAACCCAAGGCTGCAACCTATGACAGCCACTTCCTGCTTATCTTTATGGTGCTTTTTCACCCATTGTTTTGTGTATTGGTGTTATATCAGCTTGGTCATTTTCATGACTATGTAGTACTTAATTGTATGAATATATATCAATTTATTTAGACACTGAGGATAGGCATTTGGATTCTTTTTAGTCTGGGGTTATGATAAACAGCGATTTTTATACAGGTATTTTGTTGTGCATGAACATGAGTTATTCTCATTATTGACAGGTTTTTTTAATGGCATGCTGTTGGTATTTCATGGTGGTTTAAATTAGAATTGCCATGATTGCTAATGAGACTGGATACTCTTTATAGGCTTATTGGCCATTTGGATTTTCTTTTTTGTCAAGTAACTTCTCAGGTTTTCTTTATTATTTTTGTATTGTCTTTTTCCATTGGCCTGTAATTCTTTATACATTTTGAGATTATTGCTTTGTGAGTTACAGTTATGAATATTTTATCCCACTCTAAGCCAGGCATAGTCCCTTATTTCTGTCCTCTTATTTCCCACAAAACCCGAAAAACCAAATTTGCCTAGGTGGGAAAATTTCTCCAAGGTAAAAGCAGTATTAATGCTCAGGCATTGTTTCCTTGGCTCCTAACTGCTTTTAGACTTTTACTCTAGTATTTTACCATCCTGCCAGCCTTTCAAAGCTTTAAAAAAAATTGAAAAATATGTTTATATAATTTTAAAATTAATTTCAGCAAAATAGGATGTTACAAATATCTCAACTCACCACTACTGTAGATGGAAGTCCATTTTACTTAATTTACTAATTTATTATCTGCAAACTCTTTAAAGAGAGGGATTATTTCATTTTGTTTTCTGCTTTACCCAGTCCCTAAGAATAGTATCATGCACATAGTTCCACCCATTAACTATTTTTTGAATGAATGAATAAACTCTTTGATAACAATATACATATTGTGGGAGGCTTTGAAGTGCTAAATTAAACTTCGTATCATTCCAGTTTAACCCACGACAACTCACCACTCATTCTTGAATAAGCTCTACATGCCTCACACTTGTCAGGCAAGGTGAAGAAAATAATCTGGACTGCTAAGCTTTGACAATGCTAACTTCATCTGCAAAGTAAGGAGTTGAATTAGACATTGTCTAACCTTCCTTTACTTTTTAAATTTCAGAGGTTGGGACATGGTTCCTGTCCTCAGTAGCCACAATGACAAAATAAGACTGGCAATGATAACTTCACTCCAGGATCAGAGTTACTCCTGATCTGTAGGCTTGACAGTTATACTGATTTTTTTCAGTCCTAAATTTTGGCATAAGTAACCCCTCTCTCACCCTGCTATGAATGTGAAGCCCTGCTTAGAAATGCCCTGAGTTGTCTTTACACACTCTCCTTTGTAAAACTGAGTATCTGCTGCTGAGTACAAATCTCATAAAGAAGGACTGGGGGGTGAGTGGGCTTAACTCAGTCCATTCGTGTTCACTTTCCCCGAGGTCTTCTGGCCTATATCACTGTTGTCTTCCCCAGGCTGGCTCCCAAGAATGAGCTGCTACCACTGATCTGACTCACTATGAATCACAGGCTCCTCCCTCTGCATCCAACACAGCTGAGACCATCTGGGTCCTGCAAAAGAGCTCTACCAAACTGCATGGGAGGACACAGGGAAATAAATACAGCCACCACTACAGGGACACTTAAGAATCAGACTTACAGCCCCAGCTGGTTATCTCCTGTGGCATCCATTCCATAAACCATCGAAGAGAGCCACCCACAGTCCCAACATGCCGCCATAATTCTGCAGCCCTCTTTCTTGCATTTCTCCTCAAGGTCCTATGCTTGACAAGGTTGAAAGCATCATCTACCAACCTACTTTGGAAGCTCCAACTTCAGACATGTGAGGCCAGTGGCCTCAGTATTGGATAAGACACTGTTTCTCTCTATAGGACCATGGCTTCACTTTATCATACCTTCATTATTTCCACAGCACAAAGAATAAACACCCACAGCATTTCCGTAATGGGATCTACATGCACACAGTCATAGGCAGGTGATCTCTTGGGAAATTACCATGAACAAGATGGAGGCAAAGTTCATCAAGTAACCTGGGAACCGATCCTTCCAGGTCAGTTTATCTTCATCATCATCCTGGAGGAGAAACAGAAGAACAGAGACAATCAGAAGTCAAAAAGAACAGATACGGGTTTGCTCTCAAGTTTGCATATATTTGCGTAGCATCAATCATTTGACATTTTATATCTTTTCCCAGTCACTGGTGACTTACCTTCTGTATCCACACAGCACCTCTAATTTCATAATTTCTAAATGAGCTGACATAGCTCAGAAAGCTATAGAAGACCTGATTTGATGACATCCCCACTCTCGGCTAATGGTCTAGTTCAGCTCATGTCAGCTGTGCAGCCACAGGCATGCCTCTTCAGATTTTGGATCCTCTATTTCTTCATCTGTAAAGTGACCACAGTAGCGACATCTGCCCTACCCACTGTACAGGGTTTATTTATTTATCCAAACCCAGGAATATGGCAAAATAATGGGTGAATGGTAGACATGATGCAGCTACAAGGAAGCAGCCTAGAAACAGACCAGCAGTGAATAACATTAACCAGTGACCTTGGATCCTAATAACTGCACAAATTACCTCAAGTTTTACTCTCCAAAGAACCCATACATAGTATCATTTGTTTCCTCTAGGGTGACTGGGTTCTCCCTTCCTCACAAATGCAGACATTCTGAAATGTGGGTTAAGCTGACCCATTCAGTCCAGTTGACTGAGAGTTTCCCTGCCCCTCTCAGATGGTTTACAACTCACTCGGGCCTCGATCCTGCGGCAACCACACCGCCGACCACAGCCCCGCTTCAGCTTGAAGACCTCCTTCAGTAGAGAGAAGCCGAGAGGTGTGAATGGTAAAAATCCCTGCTACATATTTCCTGTACAAAGTTAGCTCAGGCACTTGAATACTTTGAGCTATAGTTTTGTAAAGTTAGGATTGAGACAATTGTCCTGCCTACCACATGACATGCTTGCAAAGACCTCCTGAAGCCACAACTGCAAAGGCGCTGAGAAAATGGCAAAGCACGCTGTGCCGGCCAGGTAGGAGTCCCAGTCACTCACAGCAAGGGAGGGCTGCAGACCCAGGCTCTGTTTCCTCTTCCCTCCTCACCAAGGCCACTGAAAAACACACCTGATTTGACTCTAGCAACAGTGCCATCTAGCCTTGGAAAGCTTGTACTGTAAGCTGAGGCTCTTTTTGGCCTAGGAGACTGTGTTCTAAACTCCTTTGTCCAGCCACTGTGTACAGATTTTAATGCCAGGCACAGAGCCAGAAAGCAAAAGGAAGTCCTCTTGATCACTGCCCCTGTGGGGTCCCCAGGCTGAGGACACCCATATACCAAAAGGCTGAAGAACCACTTGTCAGCTTGGGAGTGAGGGTCATCTTGGGAGAGAGTCTCTGGGGACCTAATAGAAAGAACAATCTTATTGCATGTCCAGAACTGAGCCCAGGGTCGAGCTCACTTGAGTGCTGAGGCTGAAGTCATGCAGTAATTAACACTTTCCTGTATACAAGGTGCAAGCAAGCCACCTACTCAGGTTTTCACGATTCAGTGATGAGATCAGGTTTCTGAACTCCTAGTCCAACCGACTTTTCATCACATAGAGAGAACAAGGTAACTATTGGAAGTGACTATTCTGAAGAGATGGGAGCACACATATCTATTTCTAATGGGACTGGAACAAGATCCAAGCATATTCTTCTATTAGGTCGAATACCAAGAGGGAGTGGAATTTTTCATTTTCCTTCAGTATTTTTAGTTTCACTCACCCACTAGTGTCTTCCTTTAAAGTATCATGAAATTATCTTCCTTTTAGATGTTGATAAGGAAGTTGGAGCATGGTGGCACACACCTGGAATCTCAGGTACTTGTGAAGCTAAAGCAGGATAGTAGATTTGAGGAAAGCCTGGGCTACTTATTGAGACACTGTGAATAATAGGGGGTATAGTTCAGTGGTCGAATGCTTGCCTAGTACAAGTAATGCCCTGGTTCCATCCCCAGAATTGTAAAAAAAAAAAAGATAAGGGAGATGGCAGATGGGGTGGTAGAAGGCAACACTCAACAGGAACTCCAAAGAGAAATAGCAGGAGTGCACAGAGGCTCTTCCTGAGGCCTGCCTAATTACAGTGAAGTTCTAGATGAATGAATCTGGGTTCAGTTCTTCTCAATAAACATGATCTGAGCACCAAGATCATGGATAGACCAGGCTCTTGGCTAGATTATGAGGACAAAGTGACAAGGTCCAGTCTACTCCAGAGCTCACAGACCATCAAGGATACAAGAAAAAGGATTTCACAGCTAGACCTGACTAGGAAGGTGACGTTACTATTTTGCATGAAAGAGAGACATTAAAAAGGAATTAAATTGGATGGTCTCTCAAAGCAAGTCTCTTGAAAAAAAAAACTCATTTCTATGTAAACAATCTAGTATTTGTTGAAAAATCCTTCTTATGTTTATAGTGATGAGCCTTTTTTTCTGGGAGTCATAGCTTCCAACATACACAGTTTTCATGCATTCGGATACTATCCAAACACAAGAAGCCAAGAGAAACACAGAGATTACAGTGTGTATTCCAAGCTCCCAAAGTTTCTATTAAAGATGACAATAAAGAAACCAGGTTTTACTTATGAAAATCTGGATCTAATAATGGAAGCCAATTAAAATTGTCCACTCATGAGTACATTAACAGTGTGAAGGTTCACTGCAAACACCATTGACTGAAGTGTACTCTCCCTCCAAGTTCTGACACCGCATCCCTGGCACTGAAGAAAGTAGACTTGGAACCACAACATCTCTGTGCTAAGCTCTTGGTTCTAATACTTAGTAGGCAATGACCTGGGGAGATTCCCAGAACCTCAGTTTCCTTATCTATAAAATAATTCTATCCCTTATCTGTAAAAGAGTTATATCTATTGCCTTTCAAAATAGCAAACCTATGAAGAGGGCCAGAACAACGCAGGCAGGCACCCAACGTGAGAACTCTGCATCTTCCCCTCCTTTTAAAGTGGTGAGCATAACACTTATCTCACCTGAGTGGCAGAGGTACTGTGTGGATCACATGAGTAAATGTATGTGAAAGAGTTCTGTGAAGGCTCACAGGAGACTAGGGGCTAACTGGCTCTTGATTATATCAAAAGTAGGTAGCTACAAAGCACTTAGCTAACGGCACCATTGTTTAGACAGGAGCCCGTCTGTGCTTAGTTCTTTGTCTCTGCTGCCTGTGTCTACTTCCCTGGACCGTGGCTCCCATGTCTGAATCTCTACCCAGCAAGTGGCACAGTAATACACACACCCACACAAGTGCCCTTCTGCAGACTGAGCATTTGGAAATGAAGCCAGTACAAAGGTAATACATGACGATACTATTTAAACAAATTTCTTGGAGAAAAGGGATTTTGAAAAGTGGCAATTATCCCTGGGGGTTTTCCCCCTTTATTTTTAAATGAAGATTAAAACATATGTAGCAAAGGTCACCTTTGTCAATGTGCAGCTCTGCAAGTTTCGATGAATATACAGTCATATAATCACAACCATAATCAACACACAGCACAGTTCCATCACTCCTTAATACTCCTCCACGCCTTCTAGTCTGTATCACACTCACATCCCCAGAACCTGCAAGATCTGTTTTCTGTCCATGGTATATATGTGTATCCATATAGTTTACAGCACTTTAAGGTTTGACTTCTTTGACCTAGCACAGCGCATTTGGGATTCAACCATATTATTTTATATCTCAGGAATTTGTTCCCATTTTCTGAATATTTTATCATATGAGTGCATTGCAGTTCATTTGTCTCGAATTTATTCTTTAATTTAGGGATGTATGGGTTGCTTCCAATTTTTAGTAATTGTGAATAAACCACTAGTTTTGGTGCAAAAACAGCTTTTCATTTCACTTGGGCAAACAGCAACTAGTGTAATGGCTACATCATATGGTAAGTGTATGTTTGACTTTATAAGAAACTGCCACATTGCTTCCCGAAGTGACTGTGCAATTTTGCATTTCCATCAATAACCTATTATAGTTCTTTCCTCTACCTTCTTTCTTTAAATAAATTTCATTTTAGAATTATCTTATATTTGCAACAAAGCTCAAAAGATAACACAGAGAGATGTTCTATATTCTGCATTCAATTTCTCTTATATGTACATTAATAACCAATGAAATAATATTATACATTATTATTAAATCAAGTTCACACTTCCTTTATATTAGGTAAAAACATTTATATAGTTTTGACCTAATGTCCATTTTCTGTCACAGGGTCCCATCGAAGACAGTACCTTATATTTGTCATTTTGTCTCCTCTAGACTATGAAAGCTCTTCAGACTTTCCCTGCTGGTGATGACCTCGTCACTTTTGACGTGCACTAGTCAAGTGATTGTTGAATGATTCTCAACAGTGGGTGTTGAAAGTTTTTTTCAAGACTTGAGTTACAACTTTGAGGGAAAAAACAGAGGTAAGGGGCCATTTTCATCACATTAGATCATGGAGACAGCTACAGTATAGCTCATTCATAATACCAACCTTGACATTCTGGTGGAGGTAGGGTTTTTTTGTATTTTCTGTATCTATCATAAAGTCTATTTTTCTCCTTTATAGACTTTGTAGAAGGAAGTCAGTAGGTACTCACACTTAAAAGGTGAGGAATTATACTCCACCTTTTTGAAGGTATCTACAGATATCTCTAGGCTTTTCATACAGATTTTTATATTTTGAATGTTCTTAAAGAAGAGCTATAGAGAAAAGGTGCTCAATCATTATAATATGAACAGTACACATTTCTCTAAGCCCTGAAAAGAAGCAAAGAATATGATAAATGCCAAGAGCAGCATGCTTAGCAAGGAACTGGGTTTAGGATTCAAAGGAAACAGGCTGTGACCCTCTTTCTCCCAGACAGCCTACCAAGGGCAGCAGTGCAAACGTCATCACCATCAATGGCAGCTCCCTCAGTATCTCCCTGAACAACTCCACCTAAGAACAAGAGGGCTGGGAATCAAGTCTCATTGGTTTTTATTAAAAGGTTATATATCAAACCCATGTTCCTGCACATATTTGGTGGGCAGTGTC